CCGGTGGACAGCGACAGTGCACTTCCAAATTCATTTGTCATTACATTCCTCTTATTGTTAGACTTCAATTTGACTTGAAGCCCCAAGAGATTATATCTCAAATAAAATTTAAATTTAACATTTGAATATCTTATATGAAGGCTTGAGATGCATGATGAAAGACCATCAATTCTATATTTGGTAGTTGGGAGGAATTATACTACTCATTTGATAAGTTGATGGCACTTATGTACAATCCAATGTTAGGGTCAATTTACAAGATTCAGTCTGATAGTACATCACACTTTGAATGTCTTTTTTGGGTTTTTGGGCCACCTATAGAGGGTTGGAGTTGTTGCATGCTTGTCTTGATTATCAACGTCACATGCTTGCTAAGTAAATATTAAGGAACTTTACTTAGAGTTTTTGATATCGATGCAAATAATGATCTTTTTCTCTGGGCATTCATGATTGTTGAATCATAATACAGTGAATCTTGGATATGAATTTTAAAGAATGTATTTGAGCTTCTACATGTGTTTGGGTCACTCCCAGACCTTTACATAATGTCAGATCGACATTCTGCAATTATTCGTGTATGCAAAGAGATTTTTTCATGGGTGGCTCATAGATTTTGTTCGAGAAAACTCAGAGAAAACCTTAAGAAAACAACTAAAAAGATGGGTATAATTGAAACAGAGAAGATATGTCAAAAGATGTATTGCGAAAAAAACACATATGATATTACACTATACAACCAACATATGACAAATATTTGTAATGTAAAACAAGAGGCACGTGATTGATTGGTTTCTAAAGATAATACAAAGTAGAAAATATCACACAATGGTGGAAAAAAGGTATGGAGTGATGACAGCTAACACATCAGAATGCTTCAATGGTGTCCTTCATCGAGTGAGAAGACTTTCTATTCAAGCATTGATTTGCTCTATATACTATAATATCATAGCTTTATTTCTCAAAAGATATAACACAACACAAGATCTTGAAATGGCAAACGAGTTGTTTATTGCCATTAGAGTAAGCATTACTATTCAACAATATGAAGCTGAGGTTAGAAGATTTCCTGAACAAAATTGTCTTAACTTTCATGAGTACAAGGTCTACAATTTCAGATTTCACTCATAAAGAGTTAACTTACATGTTGATGGAGGCCGTAATTATAGTTGCAGATGACCAGAGCTTATCATATGCCATGCTTACATGTTATAGCTACTTTAGGTCATAAATATGTGAATCATCTATCATATGTCTCTCATTATTATACTGTTTAGTCTTTCAAGGATATGCATCATATGAGCTTCATGTTATAATTGAACGAGCATCGTTGCCTGATTTTGATCCAGTTGTTAGAATTATTGAGTTAACACCCCCAAATTTTAGACAAAAGACTAGAAGACCACCTTGAACGAACATACCTCTTTGAGACTCAGGATTTGTAACATACCTCTTTGAGACTCAGGATTTGTAGCTTGTGTTGTACGGTAGGGCACGCACAATAAATTTACTTGCCCATCAAACATAAAAAATATATGGCATTATGAGTTGAATAATACAATTACCTTAATAATAAATTTTAATTAACAATCATATCGTCTTTTACGTGTAGATACCATGACATAGGAGAGATATGGAAGGGGACATGAAGGTGGGGAGTTGCAGTCTCGATGGCATATGATACGACCTAGCAAGGAACCTGAGATTAGGCCAACATCTTGCAAGGTGCACCCTGACGTTGCTCCACTATGTGGGATACACAAAACAATACATCCTAATTAGGTATTTGATTAATCCTAATATTTAAATCACTTAATATCATTATTTGCCTAATATTTAATTCACTATATATGACACTGTTCTTAAGGTAAGCTCGCAGTTACTTATGACGAGAGGGGTAAATTTCATATCCATGCTTTATTGAAAATTTGACAAAGATTGGTTTGGACTGCATCAAAAACTTCAGTATATTAGATTAGATCACCATCAACTTAAGACACTTGAAGAATGTTAGTCTTCGAAGACTAATATGTTTCACTTGCCTGTTATGGAGATGACAATTACTTTACAAGAATTCTTTATGATTCTAAGCATCAAAGTAGATGGCCTTCACTGATAGGCCCGAGAGTTATTGACGAGGACAGGAGATGGTCTTCATGGCCAGATTACAACGATGATTTACTCGACACTCACTTTGATCTAGACATAGTCTACCACCAGTCAGTTCTAGGTGTTGTGCTAGATTCAAGATGGGGTAGGCTAGAGCATAGACTTTCGTACCCCTACGATAGCTGGGGTGGACATTTAGTATATTTTATTATGACGATTTAGAAGATATTACTTTTTGCATACATATTCGGGCATACATATTATTCATTTGTGGGTGTTTCCTGATTCCTGGTATCTATGGGTGAGAGATACACTTACAAAAGTTACCAATCATGGAGGATATATCAGTTTTTCTCCAATTTTCTAGTAGATCAACAATATCGGCAATTTTGTATAGAGAGATGAGACAAACTATTAAGTCTGCTCGGGTGCACATGGGTAAGGTATCAGGATCTCCTTTAGGTTTGATGCTGGGAAAGATTCCATATTGGCAGACCCACACTACACGTTCCATACCCAACAGGGATAGATGAGAGGAGTGTGGGTTTTATATAAAAATTTTATGTAGCACTTTAATAATACTTTAATTTGTATTCAATAAACTAGACTAATCTTTAAATTTTTGTAGTTAAAATGAGCCTTATGTATGAGAATAGTTACCTAGTCACGTACAAGTGTATCGTGATGATTTTGACGGACTTATGCTTTCTCAGGTATTCTAATTTTCTTTTATTACACATTGTCATTATACTTATAAACTAATATTTCTACTACTAATTTTATTTTTTCTACACAATGTATGTTACATGGCAAACATACGACAATGAGATCCTTCATCCTATTGCCGACATATGCACCTCAGAATAAGGTGTTCGAATTTCTTGGTAGTAGAGTGTTATCTTTCAGATAAAGTTATTCATCAGTTTAATCGGTTCCCAAGTACTTAGATTCAATCCATGAAATCTGACTTTTTAGAGTTGATGGACGGGGGAGAGCAACACATATTGGCTGCTTGCCACCAATGATATGTCGAGATCTGGGATGACAGAGAAGCATGAGGCATGACATTCTAGAGGCCTAAATCATTATTGAGCAGTTGTTGTCTGCATGAACTGATACCAGTCATGGGCTACATTGCACTCACTCAAAGCTTTAATGGATCCTCCTGACACATATTACCCAAGGTCTACAGTACAACGAGCCCTGATATGTACAAAATTATTTTAGTTCAATTTTATAATATTTATTATAAAGCGTGAAATATTTTTTTGTAGCACGATTATATTACAGATACGGAGAGGATTTTATCGCCTTATTTGAGCTCTAATAGTGAGAGACCAAAATAAAAGGAGATAGATGACATGGAGGGACTCTATAGCTATATGAGATTATCGGTCCATAAGTATGATCTACCACAGAGCGGGGAGACTCTAGACGTGGATGCAGAAGATCCATTGCCTCCATCGCCGACACACGATGACCTTAGGCCATCCATTAATTTCTAACTTAATTGCAATAAAACTTAAGAAAAAAAAATTCTAACATAATTTTTATTAGAAGTAATTATATACATAGCACCCAAAACATTATGTTTACAAAATCTAGCACACATTTGATAATTTTGAACTACCAAACCGATATATTTATGGATGCAGCGATCAAACTACTGATCATTTGATAGAAATGAAAAATACGAGTAGGGATTTTCGTAATGAATTTTGATATTTGAGTGAGGAATTGAAAGTGGATAAAAGAGGACACTTGATTTATGAATAGAAATGTTTAGGGTGTTATGTGAAAACTAATTTTTTATTGCTTTTCAAAAATTTTATTATAAAAATCTATTTTTTTTTTCAACTGAACAGTTAAAATACAGTTAGGAAGCTGAAATCTAATATTTTTTAAAATAATATATATTTATAATTTTCATCACAACTTTCTAAAAAAAAACTACTTTCACCATCACAAATTTACAATCACTTTCAAAAGATGGAAGAAATATTACATCAGTACTACGCACATAGAGTAACGTGCGTACCCAATATAATCACGCCACGATACCCCGCGCGACGTAGAAAAAAAACGGCGCAGTAACACGGGGAATATTCCCTCCTGTGTTATTCATGTGTTATTGCGTGTTATTCATGTGTTATTGATGTGTTATTGTGTTATTATAACACCAATAATATTCTCAGGATACAATAACACATGAATAACACAAAAACACTTTGAATAACACGGGAAATATTCCCGACAAAGAAAAAACGGCACAGTAACACGGGAGAATATTCTCTCCCGTGTTATTATGTGTTATTCAAGTGTTATTCATGTGTTATTGTGTTATTATAACACCAGGAATATTCCCAGGATACAATAACACATGAATAACACACAATAACACATGAATAACACGGGGGGGAATATTCCACGTGTTATTGTGCCGTTTTTTTTCTACGTCGCGCGGGGTATCGTGGCGTGATTATATTGGGTACGCACGTTACTCTACGTGCGTAGTACTGATGTAATATTTTTCCCAAAAGATGAAGCCAAATAGATCCAACTCAAGGACCTAGAAAATAATTAATGAAACAATGGGTGACAAGATCATAGGGCGGGAGCAAATTGACCACACATCTAAACGACAGTCTGAATCGACCGCCGTGTGCACACGACGGCGTGAAGCAACCGGTCCATTGTCCGGACGCCGAGGGCGGTGGATTTATATCTTTTCTATAAGAGCACCATAGAACTTTTTAAAAAAAAACATACCACATACAAATAGAAATACGAATACAGATATCATCAAAGATTAAAATATGATTATGGTAATCAAGCACTAAAATATTGGAACAAAAATCTGTTATTCAAGATTAAATTAAAGATGATCAAAACTAAATTACATACAGGAGGCAAACAATTTACCAAATTCAGATAAAAAAGACAAGTAATAAATACAACATGAAGGATTCAGAGAAAGTCCACTGCTATTATATGACTAAGTAAATGAGCAACGACCCTAAAGGGTTCAGATATACATACATAAATGCCTATACTCTCTAATTGCTAACAAATAACACTAAAATTCGATAATTCATTCGCCGTCTTATTCCTCATCTGCATCTGCTTCCGCATCTGCATCCGATGATGTAACTTGGTAACTTAGTCAGATGGGTCGTATGAATACATAAGAAAAAGAAGAAAAAAATGTATTTACATACATGCCGCCTAATTCATATGTATTTATATATCTAACCCCTAAACTATACCTTTTTACGTCAATTTAACTTTAAATAGTTAAATACACCTTTTGATGCATAGGTAAGGTGGCATGCATTTAAAAATTGAAGTAGGTTTTAGATATGTAAATACATAAGAATTGAGGGTATGTATGCAAAACTTCCAAAAATAAAAAAACCCTTAAAATATGGATATATAAAGAAAAATGTGAAGGATAACTAATATAAATACTACAACAAAGGCAAGATTTCTCTCTCAAGTCCCGCCCTTTTGGCTGCAATTTGGTGCCACTTTAGACTTCCAACTTATGTGCATACAGCAACAAAATTAAAAGTTTGAGAAAAGCAAATTTTGTAATGATGCAAATCTAAAATCTATATGGAATACAACTGCATTGATGCTGCCTTAGTTGTCCTCTTTTTTTTTTTTCAATTTAATCATATCTATGATGATGATGTACATGAGAACGCAATATGCTTTTGAATATTTCTGATTAAATTGTTAGATTTAATTTATTATTGTTTCAGTCGATTCCAGTTATGCTTCAACACATGGTGGGTTCTCCCTAATTTCTCTCCAGCCCTTATTCCATCTCTAGTTTTGAAAAATATCTACCTGATGTTCTTCAGCTTGTGGATGTCGGCACCAGGGGACTTTGGGCGTGGGCGTTTTATCGCCGCTAATGTAGCAGAAAATAGAATATTACTAGAAATTGGAGATTTAACAGAGATTAAAAACTGAATGAGACTTTCGCAACCTCTATATCACTATTCTTTCAAGTTACTGGGTTGCGAGAGTAACTGAGAGCGAATGTCAGTTGCCATGAAATTAAATATTCATTCTCATATTCCTCTCAAAATTTAAAGCTTTGGTTTAGTTTCATGTCATTTTTTCAAAGAAACTAAAAGCGTTCTTTGATTTTGCATTATATTATTGTAGTCAGTTGCAAGCTTTGTGAATTCCGTCCTCAATTTTAATTAATGCCATGTTTCAACAATTTCCTAATTATTTGGGATTAAATTTATCAATCCTCAAGTCTCCATTCATTCATGTTGAGTAAGTACGGGCGGAAACTCTATTTTACATAAATTCTTTGCCAAATTTTTACTAATGTTATCTACAGTTCACCCATTTATCTTCCTAATCTTTTCATATTACCTGTCTGTCTTCTTAATGCACTATTATATATGTAACAACCATTTAAATCAAATTTTCATTTCATCATCTTTAATAAGAGCCATACCACCCGTCTCTCTGTAATCTTCACAAGCTATCCTTCTAAGATTTATCATATATCTGTTTTGGCAATATTTTCTATTCTAAGCTCAACTAACATGTCATGACCCGGCCAAAAGCTTGGAATTAACTAAGGCGAGAATGAACGATCGGAAGGTGGAATTAAAATTTTCATGTTATTCAATTTCTATCACTAACATTTTAATATAAAAAATTAATTGAAAGAGCAATGAAATGAAACATTTTAATTAACAAACAAAAATTACCTTTCTAGTTGCTGACATCTTCTTCTGTACATGTTAGCTCCTCTAGTATTCATCTTATTTAAAAACTTAAAGCTAAAAAAATATTAAAACAATATAATGATTCATCTTAAAATAATCTAAAAACAATCACACTTTCAAACTACAGTAACTCCACGAAAAAAAAGTAGCAAGCATGTTGATCTATTCTATTTCTAAAACAATCTTAGGATAATCTAATATATGTGTCCATGATATTTACTTGATAAATAAACTTATATTTTGATATGCATTAATTGAAATCTTTAAGATTTAAGCTTTAACTTTACTCTTACTTCATGTTATTAACATCTACATCTGTTACCCCGAGCATTGCGGTTCACGATCTAATTTACACGATTGTTTGATATGGAAATGTGTCTACTCGCCCCTAGTCAATATTCTCTCATCGGCACAACAGTTAGTGATCTAAACTTCACAATTATCTGGGATGCTAAGAAAACATCTACCCGCGTAGACACACTGACGCTCCCTGCCTATACCATAAGGGGATGAGCTCTTTAATTATGCACATACAATTAATCACATATATACTACTTTATTCTTCATATCATACATTATTTTCTTATGAAATAATTTACCACTATCTATTGATGAATGAATGAATGCAATTTTACTAACTCTATAGGTTATGCAAAAAACTGATATATACGCCTATATTGAAATCTACATATCATGCATAAAAAAACTCTTCTAAAAAAGAACAATAATGTAAATTTTTAACATACATACTTTTTCCAATCTGACAATATGAAGAATTTATTATAGCATAAATCTCCTAGAACATACCATAAATGAAATTAGTCATACATTTAAAAATAATGAAAGTTACTAAAATTTAGAAATATAATTACTCACATTAACTTTTAAAAGACCTATTCAAAAGCTTATTCCTCTACATTAGCACATGACATTAATTTGTATAACTCCAATTTAATACTTAAACATGATTTTAATTTTTACATAGAATCTAAATTAAACAAACTCAATCTCTTACCTTAAAAGCTTGATTTGCTTTCTCGCACACAAGGCTCCTTCTTCCCCCCACTAATCGATTTAGTTTGGCCTTTATTCTTCTGTCTATGCTTTCTGGCATTGTGTTATAAATAAATACTTAATATATTTAAATAAATATGTAATATAAAAATAACATAATAAAAAACTAACCTTCCAAAAAGCATTCGATCGGATGCCCTCACACGCACACACGCGAGCTCCCTTTTTCCTCTTCTCCTTCCTTCGCACGAGAAGCTATAGAGCCTCCCACAAGCGACAAACCTACCTTCTTCCGTGCATCACGGTCGGCACACACGGTCATCTTCCCTTCGGTTTAGCTAGGGCTTCCTCCCTCAAGCACAGAAATACATGCTCAACATCGTCGCTTGTCCCTACACCCGGACGATATTGCAACATGCCTCTCAAGCCCAGAAACAATGTCGTCCGCAAGGTATGAGACTTCTTCTCCTTCATCTTGATTTGGGCACAAGATTTTTCCTATGTTCTTCATCATAACTTTGTCTCCTCCATCTCTCTCAGTCTCTCTCTCTCCCTCACTTCCTTTGTATCACTCTCTATCTCTCATCCAAATCTATCGTTCTTGGGATATGAAGAAAAGAAAAGAGATAAGCTTTGTTTTGTTTTCCCACAAGCATCGCATCTCTTTTGAACAACACATACATTTTTTCTGTTATTACATTACAAATCAGTAACCTTTTGCATTGCCAAACACACGAACATAGCATAGTTAATCAAATTATAATTTTATTTAACTTTAAATCTATGTGATATTTCTTAAAGGGACATCCATTTTCATCACCCATACTTAACTCTAAAAGTTATAATATCATCTGTAACCACAATTTTCAATATAATAGATTCGATATGCTAACTGTATGATAACAAGGGAAAATTCTCATATTCCTCTATTTTTGAATTACAATGCTCACAATATAAAGAGTAAACTCTATGGTAAACATAATTCCTACAATTACAACTTACCAAAGATACAACAAACCCATAAGGAAAAAACTACAAAAAAAATAATAAAGAAATAAATGAGGATAAATCTAAATAAGAGATACAGAATTCCACACTGACCCTCAATCTGGGTCATAGATTTTGTACAGACTCAGGTTGGGGTTCAAATTCGTGAAGTTGACTGGAGGAAGAGATTTCATGAAGACATCAACAATTGGAAGATGAGTTAGAATGTAGATTACGTGAATAACACCTCCATTGACCTTCTCAAAGACAAAATGAATATTAATCTCAATGTGTTTGGTCCTATCATGATGTACAAAATGCTTTGCAATACTGATGGCAGCTTCGTTGTGATAGAACATCTTCATAAGATTAACCGTGGAGTATCCCAACTTATTTAGTACCCCTTTGAATCCACTTTCCTTCACAAATTCCCAAAGTAAGTGCTCAGTACTCAATATTATAAACTGCTTCTAGAAACCATTGTTTACTTCTTGCTCCTCCATGTGACAAGGTTTTTTCAGGCATAGGAACAATGCCCAAAGTTGGATTGTCTATCCACGAGTTTTGTTGCCCAACTAACGTTGGTATACCTCTGCATCCCTGTTGTTAGATTTCTTAAACAATAATCTCTATCTGAAGTTTTCCACAGAAACTTAATATTCTGTACACCAACTCCAAATACTCTTCATTTGAATTCTTCATGTGTTAACTCACTATGCCAGTAGAGTAAGCAATTTTAGATTTGGTATGTGACAGACATTTAAGTTTACCTACTAATCTTTAGTGTCTACCTTTTTCCACTTGTCTTTTCTTTCCCCAGCTATATTTTTTTTTTGAAATCCATAAAAAACTCGGGAAATTTGCACCCTAGTATTCACGTTTCTTTTAACAAGTCCAGGATGTACTTCCTTTAGGATATCAGAATACCCAAGTTAGATATGGTCACTTTCATGCACAAAAATACCTCATCACTCCTAGATCCTCATTTTCAAATTTATAAGCAAAAACCTCCTTAATTGTTGCAATCTCTTTTTCATCATCACCACCTGTCATGATCATATCATGAACGTAGACAATGATTATCGCTTTTTTACCTTATGAACAATGTATGATTTGTTTGGCATTGGATGTACCCATTAGATTTCATAGTTTTGAAAAACTTATCATACCAAGCCCTTGACAATTGTTTTAGACCATAACGTGATTTTTTTAGTTTACAAACCTAATGCTTATTTGAGTAATCTTTCAGTCTTGGGAAAATTTTCATATACACTCCTTACAGGTTCCAATCAAAAACACATTCTTGACATATAGTTGATGCAGTTCTCACTCTTTATTCACTACCAAGGAGAAAAGAACGCTTATAATGTTTAA